CTACTTCCTCTTTGTTCCACTTTTCACTCGCCTTCTATAACCCTAATTAGTATACTATTGTTATGTATCCTAATACCAAGTATGAACGAGTCCATACACGACTCACCAACAGTCTAGAGAATTAATGATTGAACCATGAACCACTAACTTTTTCAGCTCAAAGTCGAGTCCAATTAAAAATAAATATATATGGTTATTTACTTATTAGAAAGTCGTCATTTTCCGCTACGGGATTTGAAGGCGTGAATTTAAAGCAAGTTCCACTTTGCAATCATTTTGCTTCTCTCTAGAGTTTTTCTTTTTCACCTAGGGTAGAATTTTTAACAATTATACATGGAATGTTTGGCTAGGTATTTACACATATCAAATAAATAGTTTTCATTTTTCTATAAAAAAAGTAAACAATTATCATCTTAAATACCTAAACTTAATAGATCTTTAGATTTATAACCTAAATTTATTTTTTTGACATATATAAGCCTCTGAATATTGATGGAACATTACATTTTAGCACCTAAAATTTTGTTGGTGCCTAAAATTTTGAAGTTCTACAAATAAGTCTAATTTTTGTATGTGTAATTAAAACACCCTTGAATAAATGGCTATCCATACCCAACCCATACACATTTAGATTATGAAAGTAAATATTCATACCCTACCCAAATCCATCTACAAACTTACAAACTCATATATATAAGTCACTCATACCCTACCTATAATTAGGGATGGCAACAAAACCCGAACCCACGGGTACCCACCCGACCCAACTCGGTCAACGCGGGTAAAACCCGTGTTGACGGGTTTTGGGGCGGTTTTGGTTTAAACCCGTTCACTATTCACCCAGTTGTGTTAGGTAAACCCGCCCCATGGGTACCCGCCCACACTCATATAATTAATTTTCCGATATATTTAATATTCTAAACAACTAATCTTCTTTATGTTTGTGGAGACATGTCTAATTTTTTCTTTCTAATTGTGTAGAATGAAGTTGATATTATCGAGTAGAGAGTGAAGAAATTTAATTGACAAGGAGGAAAAAGCTTTCAATTAATCATGTTGTTTATGGATAATTAGAGCTGGCAAATTACAACCCGATCCGCACCCGCTCGAAAAGTAGAAGTTTTTATAACCCGAAATTCGAATGACCCAAACCCGATAACTCGTGATTTTTTGGGTCGGGTTGGGTGGGTTAGCGGGTCGACCCGTTCATTTTTATATATCACTCATAAATTGGTGAGATGTTTAATATAATTTACAAGGATTTGAATGGCATGTGGAGTTTAAGGATAATCAAATATCATATGTTTCTTATAGTAGTATTACTCTTGTGATTGTTTTTTGACGATTTGTGCAATTTGTATTTCATTTCATTAGCATGGGAGGATTTGACAATATGTTAATTGACGTGTGTTAGGTAAACTATTGTCATGCATATGTAAAAAATTTGTGTTCTTTAAGAAAATATGAAGCATGTTTGATATTGTTTCTGAGAGCGCTCAAAACCCAAAACGACCTGTAACCCGACCCGAAACAGAATGGGTTGGGTCAATATTTGACCCGAAATCAGTCAACCCAACATGACCCGACCCGTAACCGAAGGCCTAACCCGAAATTACCCAACCCAACCCGATTGCCAGGTCTATGGATAATTTATGATTTGCTTCAATTTTCTTGAGTTTTCTAGATTGGTGTTGAACAATTTGTATGGTTAATTTGTGATTTGCTTGAATTTTCTAGAATGGTGTTTTATATATGGATAATTTGTATTGAGAGTTTGATATTGTTATTGTAAATTTTTTACGACAAAAACCGATGGGTACCCATGAACCCGCGAATACCCAGCGGGTTGGGTTCGATTTGAGTTTTTCAAACCCAGTGAATTTTACCCCGAGTTTTTTTCACGAATGAACCCATGGATTTGGATTTGGGTTTGGCAAAACCAAACCCAACCCGACCCATTGTCATCCCTACCTATAATCAATGGGTCTACTTATTAGCCAAATTTTTCCAAACAAATTAAATTGGATGTTGACCGCCATATATCTCTTCTCAGTCAAATATTAAAACCAATATTACTAACAAAACTGCTAATAAAACATTAATTTTAGACTAATAATACTAATAAAACACCATAACTAACCACACAATACATGCACATGTCACGGAAAAAATCCCAAAGTACTCTAGTTTTTAAAAAAAATTCCCAAAATACATAAGTTATAAAAAAAATTCCAAAAGTACACATGTTTGGGCATCACCGTGTTTGACAAAAGCGGTGAAGTTTATCACCGCGTTTGTCAAAGACGGTGAATACTTCACTGTTTAAGACCAAAACGGTGACGTATTCACCGCTTTAACCTAAAACGGTGATATATTCACCGCGTTTGTTGGAAACGGTGAATACATCACCGTTTATGTTGACAACGGTGATTACCTTCACCGTTTTAGGTTAAAGCGGTGATATATTCCCACGTTTCCCACCCCTGGTAGGTCAAAATTAGGTCACACCTACCTATTATTCACCGTTTGAGACAAACGCGGTGATGATGTTCACCGTTTTTGACAAACACGGTGAATAATAGGCAGATTTTCCTATAAATACCAACCCACCAGCAGAAGCAAAAACATAACCACTCCCCCCTTCTTCAAATTTCAGCAACAAAAATCGAGCATAATACACAGAACAGACATTTTTCGGTATGTTGAGACTTTTCGTATTATTGTCTAATTATGTTTTTAGTAGTTATAGTATGATTAAATTTTCGTATTATTTTGTTGTTAGTTAGTTGAATTTATGTTCGTTAGTTATAGTATGATTTAATTTTCGTATTATGTTGTTGTTAGTTAGTTGAATTTATTTTCGTTAGTTATGAGATGGACAATATAGTATGATTTAATTTTCGTATTATGTTGTTGTTAGTTTGGTTAATTTTACTGTCTTTAAGCTAATATATACTTATCCTCGATTTGTAGATATGGGTAAATTCAAGAAGTTTCATCTTAATATTCGGTGGAATGGAAGGGTGACAAACTCTAACATAGGCATTGATTATGAGGACGGCGAATCCATTATGCTGAACATTGGTTCCCGATTCAATTTTCAAGAACTCTGTGATCTTTGTGCAGAAAGGGTTTGTACGAGCGGACAGACGAGACTTGGCAGAATTACTTACCGGTATCCAGACATGAGTGCTGGCGGGGTCGTGTACCAAGAAGTTGTCATAAACGATGATGACGCGGTTACGATGATGTTACAGTTCCTAAGCGATAACCAAGTCCGGCTTGCAGAGGTGTATGTTGAGACCGAGGCGGTCGGTGAATCTCATTCTCACCAGTATTCTTATGATGATGGTTTTGCAGGAGGGTACGAATGGGGTGGTAGTTCGAGCAACTACCAAGGCGGTGGTTATACAGGAGGTTACGGGGAGGGTGGTGGTTCAATCAACTACGGTGGATCGAGTAGTGCAGGATGGGACAAATACTCGCAACCTCCTAAACCAGCCCCATTTGTTGAGGCCGATGGTGTTCAATGGCCTGCTTGGGGGCCAGAGTGGTATGGAATCGAGAATACCATTCGATCAGGGCGTACTTCACATGAGCGAGAGGACGATGTTGGTGATCGTGGTCATGTTGATCCTTCTAGCCCGAGCTATCCATTCGAGTCGAGCGACGAGGATACTGAGGAAGATTTGAGATCAGTGAGCGAGGAGGAGGAAGATACTGATGATAACGAGGATGAGGCGGCATTTCGTGAGGCACCCACGCCATATTACACACAGGTTCCAACTCAATTTTTACATAGTCAGAATGATCCCCCCGATTATGTCCCTTTGCCAGTGTACAATCCGACGGCCAATTTGGAGGTGGGTATGGCGTTCCCATCGAAAGACGCTGTGCAGGATGCGTTTACAGAAGAGGCGTTGAGGCGCAATTTCGAGTGGAAGGTAAAATATTCTGACAGTAAACAACTACATGTCATATGCAAGCATGATGCAGAGGGTTGTACGTGGCAACTGCGGGCTGCAAATATGAAGAGAAAGGGTGCTTGGGTGATTCGCAAAGCTGAGACGATCCACACATGCTCCTCTTCTATACTTTCCCAAGATCACAGGCAACTAAAGGCAAAAAAGGTTGGGAGAACTATTAAGCACCTTATAGAAGCACAACCAGATATCAAGGTGAAAGCTATCATGGCAGAGGTGAAGGATCGACATTCTTACACGATAAGGTATAAAAAAGCATGGCATGGTAAGCAGAAAGCCATGGCTGAGGTGTATGGTGATTGGGAGGATTCGTATGCTTTACTCCCTAGACTTATGGGAGCAATGGAGGAGTCCAATCCTGGGACTGTTTTCGTCCCAGTATACAACAATGTATACACTGAGGATCAAGTTCGAGTACAGGATAAGTTGATGTTCCATCGTCTTTTTTGGGCTTTTAAACCATGCATTGACGGATTTGGGTTCTGCATACCGGTTATTCAGGTATTTTACCAACTAGTTCCAGTTTTAAATGTTGTATTATTTGTTGTTTAGTATATTTCATACTACTTATAGTCTTAATTTTTATTCAGGTTGACGGAACTTTCCTTACTGGGAAGTACAAAGGATGTCTTCTAATTGCCACTGGCGTAGATGGAAACAGGCGGATTTTCCCGCTTGCATTTGCATTAGTGGAGGGGGAGAACAGCTTAAGTTGGGCTTGGTTCTTTGACCAACTGCACGAGCACGTGACACAGCGGGAAGATATTACGATTATATCCGATCGACATGCGGGGATAAGGAATGCTGTTGGTGGTTTTCCCGACGAGTGGGGGTGGAGATGGAGATGGTGTATTCGACACTGGCTCGCCAATTTCCAACACAAATTTGGGAAGAAGAAAGACATCAAGAATTTACTTTGGAATGCAGGTACTAATGTTTTACTTATGCGATTTAAGTTTGTGTTTATTAAGCTGATAATCAAAATTTTATTCATCATGTATTGACCAGTTAGTCTTCTGTTCACCTTTTAGCGGTTGCACATCAACCAAAAAAGTACGAGGAGAAGATGAAAACGATCCGTCATACCCACCGAGCTGGAGCAGTATGGGCTGAAGGTCAAGAGTTGCCCATGTGGACGTTCCATATGGACAACGGGGCCAGATGGGGCATTGCAACTACCAACCATGGAGAAAGTATAAATAATGTGTACAAGGGTCTTCGAGCGATGCCTATTTCTGTCATCGTGGAGATGTCTTACTGGAAGGTCAACGAATGGCGAGTTGCTCGGCTACAGCTAGCAATAGGGAGGGAGTTGCAAGGTCATTCAATAGCACATGACGTATTCGCTCAAATGCAGAAGAACGATGAAAAATCAAGTAAGCATAAGGTTGTTCTTTTTGACCGCAGTGAAGGAATATTCGCTGTCGAAACAGGTATATGGGGTGGAGGGAGACGTGGTCACAATCGTCAAACGGTTAAATTGCACTACGAATTAGGGGAGTGTTCTTGTCAAAAGTATCAGAACGAAAGGATACCCTGTTCACATGCAATGGCGGTTGCTAAGTCAATAACCATGAACAGAAACAGCCTGGTGAGTCCTTACTACACTGAGCAAGCGATACGGAACTCATATAATGCAGCTTTGAGCCCCATGCCAGATGAAGCGTATTGGCCTATATACGCTGGAAAGTTGATTATCCCACCGTTGCACCTAAAACGCACCAAAGGTCGTTCTAGAGTTGAAAGGATACACAATGAGATGGATCAAGTTGAACGGACGAGAAGGGGTCCGAAGCGATGCTCTAAGTGCAGACAACCTGGTCACGACAAGAGGCGTTGCCCAGGACAACCATCAACTTAATTTGCATTTACTTGTATTCTGCTACTAAATTGATCGCTTGTTTAATTTTTCATTACCGTTTGCATCTGAATTCTAAGTATTTTGTTGTTTCTAAAATGTTGTCCTTGTCGATACTATCGCGCTACCGCAAACGGCTCGTTATTTCGACCACAAACGAATAAGATACGCGCGTTTTAGTTTTTAGTACGCAAAAGTTACTTTAACGTTACGATCGCGCTTTGACGTCACTTATCTCACTCGTTTGGAATCGGAATTGGGATCTGTAAAATTCTATGCGATCGTGGTTGATTTTCCCAACTTTTTCGTGTTGAGGGAAGATACTGATTCTTGATAAAATGATACAGAAAATTCATTCGATAACTTAAGTGCGTAGGATAGTTTTTAGACAATGCAAACTCAAATAACACCTAAAAAGCAAAAAAACAACATGGATAGTTCACTACAATGATAAAACGATAAATTCACTCATTTGCTTCATTTTGGCCCCCATCTCCACCTCTTCCTCCTCGTCCTCCACGACGTCCTCGACCCCTTCTTCCCCCTTCCGCCGCTGCTTCTTGGCGGGCCGCTCAACGGCTTGTCGCGGATTTCTCTTGACCCGAGCCCCAACTGGGGTTACATATGGTGGTGGTGGTGGCTGAGATGGAGCGGTAGCTTGGCGAATGATCGGAGGTTGCGGAGTTTGTTGTTGCGGGGTCTGATACATCGAACTCTGTTGCTGATGTTGGAATTGAGAGAACCCATGAGAGAAAGTGTCCCACTCCTGAGATGCTCCACGACTCGATGACCCTCCACCGGCTTCCACTGTAGGTGCCCACTGGTACTCGAACGGTTCAGGGATCTCGGTTTCTTGAGTTGTACGCACCTCATCGAATGTAGGTAGAGGCCTGCGTTTGCTCCTTCGTGGGGGCTCAACCGGGGGCACAATGGGTGCATCATCACGGAATGAGGGTCGTGCCGGGGCAGGAACGGGAGGATAGGCCACGACATCCCTCCTTTGCTCTCTTGTACAACTCAGGAGGTTGTTCATAAGTCGGGTCAACCAATTAGTCTTCCGCTCATCCATGGTTGGAGCACTCTCGAGGGTGTACTTGGCATGTTCCAAACCATCAACCTAAGGAAAGCACTTATCTTATCAAATGAACTAAACCTTAAAATAAATAGATTTTTGAATGAGGGAGATTAGGATGACTTACCAACGACCCCATCACAGCACCTTGCTTTGACACTCATCTCATGGTGAACTTCCGATACCACTGCATGTATCCATCGTGGTAGCCCATCGGTCTCGTCTCCGGCATCCCTTGCACCACCCATTGGGACCGATTCTCCCAGATGTTGATGTAGAATCCATGCTTTAGCACCCAGTTCTTTGCAGTGTGTCGGAGGTCAATAGCATGTAGCTCCCTGAAACCGGCTGGCGGGTCTTGTGGAATGGGTTGCTCCATTCGATATTGCCTCAAAGATCGATCGGGTAGGTGCCATTCCACCATGTGCCAGCAGATCAATGGCACTTTGCACAACCACGTCTCGTGATCCAGAGGGTGCCTAAGATGATGCAGCTCACCCACTTCACGTGGATATGGATCCCATATAACCTATATTCATTAAAAAATTCGGAATTAATGACCATTTACATTGACAAAATTTAACTTGTTCAAATATGGACAAAATATGATTACCTGATTCCACCATGGTTTATCTAACTCAGAACGATAAAACAATAACGAATGCTCAGGTTGATGGTCATTCGTATTTGCTCCTATCCACCTTGTAAGTAAAAGTACGGATTCAATTTAGTTGAAATATAGCTAAGCATATAATAAATTAAATTGGTCTAAGTACGTAATAAATAAAATTAAAATCTAGCTAAGCATGCAATCAAAATTAAATTGGGCTAAGTACGGAATAAATTCAATTTAAATCTAGTTAAGCATGCAATCAAAATTAAATTGGGCTATGTACAGAATAAATTCAATTTAAATCTAGCTAAGTACACAATCAAAATTAAATTGGGCTCAGTACGAAATAAACTTACTTGACACCGTAGGGGAGATTTTGCAGAAAGTTGAGTTCATCATCGTTTCTCCGGTATGGACGTGGGTCGGCAGGTGCGAACATCGGTAGATGCTCCCATACCCACAGTTGCAGGATGAACATCGCAGCACCTGCTTGCTTTGCCCCAACCTTCGAGCAAGTACACAGCTCCCGGTATACGCCCGCTAGCACGGCCGATCCCCAACTCTTCTCTCCAATTGCATCCCAGTCACCAGTGAGCAATGGCAACCATATGCCTTGAATCCACCGGTTGGACTTGTCGGGGAACAAAAATCCACCCACCAAACCGATGAGGTAGATGCGGGCGTAGCGCTCGACTTGTTCTTCCGGTGTATCGTCATTGATTTCCACCTCTTGCTGGATGTGAGATACCAGCCACGGGACCGACACTTGCCCCGCATTCAACGGTGGATGCCCCCGTCCTTGAATTGGTGTGGTGGTCGGCATGTCGAAGCCCAAACGATCACGTATGAGCGGCCCCCAACCTCCTTCGGGTTTGGTCGTGGAACCAATGATTGCATCTCCAGAAATAGGAAGCCCGGTGAGGATCGCCACGTCTTTGAGGGTGATCGTCATTTCCCCCTCCGGAAGGTGGAATGTATGGGTTTCGGGACGCCATCGTTCCGCCATTGCCGTAAGCAGATCGTTGTCGATCTCGATCCGCAAGAAATGGCGCAACATTCTCAAACCGGTCCTCGCTATGTAGGGCTCCAACCTTGGATGCCAAGCGGGCAAGTTATTGGTCCCTTTATGAACCACGGGAACAAGCGATTCCTAAAACAAATAGGAAAAATAACAATTTATTAGATTAAATAAAGCAAAATAAAACCTTAGAAAATAATAAAATTATTATGTAAATATTGATATATGGATGACCAATGGCCTACCACATTAGATGCTCACTTGGGAGTTACATGTAACTCCTATTTCTACATCATTATCTCTCATTCATATGCATTGATATAAGGATGTAGTGGTTACCAAAGTGTGCCTATAAATATAGCACACCATTATATCAAAAGTGTAGAATGAATAAGAAGAACTCTTCCCTCTCTTCTCTTGTGTCTTTCCCTCTCTAATCATCTCTTGTAGTTGCTTATATTTTCATAGTTTCATAACACGTTATCAGCACGAAGCTCTGCTAGCATCATGGTTGGTCATTGTCTCTTTACACAATCCAGTATATTGGAGTAAGATCACAATATGATCAAGGTATGTAAATCTTATATCCTTTCTTATCTTATTGTCTTATTTGTGTTGACATTATCTCATTCCAATATATCAAGATGGGCGCTACTCTTTTCTCGTATCCATTGATATTTTATCACGTCAATCTATTTGGATTAACAAGAAAAGTAATATAAGTGATGAGTTAATTTTTCAGTTCTCTGTGTTATCCTATTCTTATCAATCCCACGTTGATATGTAGAAAATGCAAGTTCCAAGAGCCCATATATTCCCCAGAAGTGGAAATTGAAGAATTCAAAGGCAAATAAAGAAAAAAACATGGTAATAAGAATTTGGTTTTGTATGTTACCATTGTAATGGAAAATTGCATTTGTCTCGTACCCGTTGTACGCAAAAAACCCTATTCTACCAAGAATCAAAGGGAAAAGCTAATTCATATACGCTCTTGCAATATCAATATAATGGAACATATTTTTTGTATTATAAGTTGGTATATTCTCCATTAAAGATGAAAATGAAATTGCACTTGAGACATTTTCATCCCCAGAAGTGAATGAAACAATCTATTCCCCGAAGTGAATGAAGCTATAAACATGATTATATATATGTTAAATGTATTGTTTAGATCTTTTCACCAGAAGTGAGAAAAGAGGAGAATTATAAATAAGGATGACACAACAATTGCATTATCAAAGTCATGATAACATAATGTACCTGTTGTACATTATAATGTATATTAAACGCATATATAAATCTAAAATCACCTAGTTAGTGATGGTAATGTTCCAAATAAATCTTATTTAATTTTCACAATTTTAGTATTATGATTCTTATTTCTTTTATGTTTTATTGTGACGTTATTTTTCATGTATAATTTAATTTGATAACCTTTATCTTTAACAATTAACTTGATAAATTCATCATTTTTGTCTTAAGTTTGAAATATTCTCATTTATTATTTTAGTATGTTTTTGTAAAGTATGATTATTAGAAAATTTTCATATAAACTATATGGTAGAGTACATAAATAAGAAAAGCTTCCGAAAAGCTTATGTTTGGTTACTTGAAGTAACTAAATTATGTACTCGTGATAACAATTTGTGATGATATTCACTATGAATTAGTGTTTACTAAGAATGCATCAAATCATAAGTCCCCGGAAGAGTGGAATATGGTACAAAATATGGTAAAGCTTTAAAGGAGCTAATTTTGTGGCCTGAAGGAACCAAACTACCTAGTGATGATGCATTACCCAATTAAAAGGATATTCATAAAATGAATATCTTATCATGAAAATAGTGAAACTAATATTTGCATCACAAATATGTACTACATGTATATTAGTACAATCATTACACATAAAAGTGTAAACCAGAAGTTTACAAGATTTGATAACTTGATAATTTGGTTGGTCCGGTTTGACCATCCCGGATCATGATGTGAAAAAAATTCTTGGAGAATTCATGAGAACATCATATGAGAAGGCAAAGAACTCTTCAACTAAAAGAGTTATTATGTCATGTTTGTTCTCAAGGAAAATAGAACAATTGATCATCGCTTGTAAAAGAGTTGATAAATCTCTTGAGATTTTATGGATATGTATGCAGAACAATACATCAATCATGTGGATCATTTGTGAATTTTATGGGTTGATGCATCAAATGGATGATCACATGTATTTTATCTAATCGCAACCCGATGTTTGCGATATTGGTTGCCTCACTAGCTATGGATAATTGTGATGGTTATCCAATCAAACATCACTTTGCTTAAGAGAACAAACTGAGCCTTCTGGTCTCTTGTCGAGGACATGCTAGCTGGCAAGTGATAGTATTGGTTCACATCTAACCAACAAGTTATCATAAGTTCTCCCCTTTTACAAATGGTTTTGGTCAGAAACTTAACCTTTCTCATATGAGAATATAAGGGTGTGCGCATACATCCCAATTGCTCCACCACAGTATCTTAAGCTGATTCTCGTCGGAAATTGAGAATTTGTGTTGGGTATGAATCCCAAATGGGAAATTGGTTTGCGAAATTATTGTTTTGATGGATTAATTTCCCAACATTAAGGGGGAGAGGAAAAAAAACAGCTAGACAAAGAGATGAGTTGGAATGAGTTATCATTATCTAGTTTTGATCCTCAAAGTAGAAACATGAACCTGAAGTTCATAAGATGAATTATCATTACCAACTATCAAACGCATTTACTGGCCATACGAAGTGACCAAGTCACATATACTAGCTGTGAATGCTCCAACTAAATTTGATATCCTTGTTGGATACTCTAATATAATAAAAAATGTGTATGAAAGAGCGCATGAAGCATGATAGATCAATCGGTTCCAATGATAAACATCCTCGAGAAAGAGAATGAGCTATAATTAGAATGGTCAACTCGAGGACATGAAAACTCAAGAAGAGTAACCAAGAATTAAGTATAATTTTAGTTCCAGAAGAACACATGTCTATGAAAGTTGTGAAAAGGAAGAGATCTCAAAAACATATTAGATTACAATACTGGAACCGAAATGAAGTCATTGTCGACGAAATTTGTTTGTTGTACTTCAGTACTGAATATGATATATACAAGTGAGGATCAAGAGTAAAACTTTATTGATGCATGAAAATGATAATGTTATTGGCCAATATAGAAAGAAATCATGAAACTTGCTCAAGGAGCATAAAGTTTAAGGACCAGAAGTCCTTGCACCTAAAAGAGGGCAAAAATAGCGGGATACAAACAAAATTTTGTGCTATTGGAAAGTATGAAATTGTGAGAGATATAACACAATGTTTTGCAATGGGTTTCTCGAAAAAACCTATCATTGTTTAAGAGGAGTTATACTCCCCTGTGGTGGGTGCAACTACTTTTTCAAATCAATGTTTGAAAATTATTGTGATAGCCTATTTGTTTGAATTCCCTGAAGATATTAAATATATTTAAAACTCCCAGAAGGATTAATTTACCTGAAGTAAACAAGTAAAGTTCTCGAGAATATATAATGATAGACTAAGAATATCCCCTGTATGGGTTGAGAAAATATAGACGAATGTGAAATACTCGTCTAAGTGAACACCTACAACAGTAGGGTGAATGGACCTTAAAAGGTTAAATCCGGATAGAGTCATTAGAGCATTTGCATTGTGCATATATACTTGTGTTGTCTGTATGTGCTTCAAGGATTTTAAATTCTTGATTTATGAGTTGTGATTTACTTTAAAGTATGAGTTGTGTTTTATGAGTGTGCTTTGTCTAGTTCGTATGTTTCTATGATGTGTGTTTTGTTAATATCTTTCGTGATATGAAAGAATTGCTTGCTTCAATTTGTTTTAGTCAAGTTTTTTTTATGACAATCTCATATTATGTTGATGATATGTTTATTATTGGAGCTCCTGAAGAGCTTCCTAAATCAGTTGATTGCTTAGAGAAATAAGTTAAATTGAAGGATTTAAGATCCTTTGATGGGCAAGGAAGATAATGCTGAAAAAATGGAAAAATAATTTTGCATGAACAAATTATGTTCATCAAATAACATTAGGATTCTAAGATCACTAGAAGTGACCAAGATCCATTTATGCAACAAGAAAGAAGTAAATCATTAAGTCCTGAAGTACTAAATGTTGATGTAGGTCCTGAAGTACCATATGTTGATGCATCAGAGCACCAATGAACCTTGCTAGCAAAACACCATACAAAATATCATTTTGGTGTTGATAATATTAGCAAAATACAATATTTCCCTCCATGGAACGTTGGAAAATACTTTGTTATCTTTAGGAACAATATATGCGATTGTTCTATTGTGGTATTATCAAAGAGTGATTTGGTGAATTATATATCCAAATTCTATGTACCATTTGATCCTCATATTGGTTGATCGGAGATGAGCTATATCTCTTACATATGGTGATATAAGTGTTTCATAGAGAAACAAACAAACTATAGTAGGCAAGTCCTGAATATATTCCGTTACACTTTGTGATTCACCATACCTAAAGGACTTGTGGTTGTGAACTATTTTCAAAGGAAATGATCTTGACGATCATGTATGAAGAAAATCTGAAGATCATGGATCAAATTGACAATCTAGTAGATTGTTCACTAACTCACTCCCGACAACAATATTTCTAAAAGTTGCTCGTGAAATTTGAGTTCAAAGACTCAAAGATTTGAAGTGATGTGGTCATGAGGGGGAGCATATACGCACTGCACTCTTTTTTCCTTCACCATGGTTTTTTCCCACTGGGTTTTCCTGCTAAGGTTTTTAACGAGGCAGTATGAGATAGCGTAATGCAGTCTAGTGGTCATCCAAGGGGGAGTATTATGTAAATATTGATATATGGATGACCAATGGCCTACCACATTAGATGCTCACTTGGGAGTTACATGTAACTCCTATTTCTACATCATTATCTCTCATTCATATGCATTGATATAAGGATGTAGTGGTTACCAAAGTGTGCCTATAAATATAGCACACCATTATATCAAAAGTGTAGAATGAATAAGAAGAACTCTTCCCTCTCTTCTCTTGTGTCTTTCCCTCTCTAATCATCTCTTGTAGTTGCTTATATTTTCATAGTTTCATAACAAAAATAAAGCAAGAATACTCAAAAAATTACCGGATAGTTATCCCAAATAGCACGGGAGCGATGAGCTTCTTGATCGGTTAAGAGACTCGCATCCCTTGGGCCATAATGGATATACAATCGAGGATCGTATATCTCGGCACCATCTATAAAAAAGTAATGAAATCAGAGATTGTTTTGATAAAAAAACAAAAAATCAAATTGTTTCGATTAAAAAAATTCATAAACCAAAAACCTACACGAAGAGCCTCTTCGTCCATTTTTTGGCGTAGGCCGGACAGAGGTTCGACGATTTTAGGTTTGTAAGGGACGGGGGCTTTAGGGTCAAACTCTAGTAATTCTTTCTGATGTGGAAGATCGGACTTAGCCGCAACCACAGAGCATACTTAGAACGAGACTAGAGCGAATAAATTGAGGGAGAAAGAAGTGAATTGTTTGTGGGGTGAGTTGAAAGTGAAAGGGGAAGGGGGTATTTATAGTTGGGGGAAGGGGGGAGGAGCCTGCGCAGCATTCAATTGGAGGGCTTTCACCGCGTTAGTCAAACGCGGTGAACTCACCGTTGTCAACAAACGCGGTGTATATCTAGGGGACGTGGCGTGTTGTGAGGCGTCGGATCGTGGGAAGAAAACCACGATCCGCGCCTCACCGCATCCAACGGCCACGGTGATAGCAAATTGGCCCGGATTGCTGACGTAAACAAACACGGGGTATTCACCGTGTTTGTCTAACGCGGTGAATACCCCGCGTTTGTCCACGTCAGCTCCTTCACCGCGTTTGATAAAAACGGTGAAGCCTTCACCGTTTCTGTTAAACGCGGTGAAGGCATCACCGTTTTTATTTAAAACGGTGAAATGTAAACCGTCTAGCTAGATGAAACGTTGATACACCTGCTGCTAAGAGCCCACCCAATTTTCAGAGCGGCAAATGGAACGTCTCGACTTCGCCGAAATGAAAGTCTCAACAGTTGTGAGTTACTCACGCTTCTCAAGATGACTCATCAAGCTTGTAAGAAAGGCTCGATGTCTAGTTCTAAGACAGAACACGGATCCGGGATGTCAAAATTTTTCAGCACCTACAGAACCAAGAATGGAAACACCATCAAACCAATCCCGGAAATGTCTACTGATAGCAGCCCATAGTAATCAGCAAAAGCACAGGATGATTTTGATCAGATCTAGCAAGAAGGTACCTGCGGATGCACGATACCAAACATGCCAATGTGCTTTCCTTTGTAAATGATGCTAGCTTGTCTATCAGGAAGGAATTCACGTGCCTTCGTCCAGGATATGTCATCACCAAGTTAATTAGATCAGACCTTACAAAGTAGTAGCAGACAAAATCGCCTAGGAACTGCAGCTTAATGCTTAATGAAGAGTACTCACATGATCAGATCTCTGTATGTAGTACCCACTGGAGTCACCAATTGGTACAAATGGAGTTGCCATCACTTCCATCACTCTGTCTAGCAATGAATGAATCCTCTGCAAAACAATTCCTCAGCTAGCTTCAATCAACAGAAAGCTTCCAGGTTAAAACTAATGCACTGTAGTAAATCAGCCAGTCAAAAACTGTCCAAAACATATAACCTGAACATTCCAGCAGCTTCAACAAACAGTAATACATCATTGCTTTTGTTAGTGATACATTCGTTTGTATCAACCATCACAGAAAAACTCACAAGGTAATAACTTCATTTCATAACACAGATGATCAAGACATTAGTTACCTCAAATCCTGAATTAGTACCACAATACAGAGCTGTAAGACACCGAACATTTGTTGCGCCAACATCTTTAGTACCATCCAGCCGTACCGTATCACTCACTTCAAAAAGCTGCAGCCACCATGAATCACTGTCAGCTAAACTAGGCTATCTGACTTACCATGTTGCATAAAAGATGAATGCAAGTATTCTTCTTCACAATACCGTTGGATGTCCAAGTCCTTGCGGACAATTACAGTGGACAATAAGTTAATTTGCAAAGCAGAGTGCAATATAAAGGTACCTTAATGGGTTTGGACTTGTTTTTGTTTTTTCCGATAGTTTTTAGTCCTCCAAGCATGAGGGTGGTTCGGACAACCTATCAAATCAAACAGAAACACCATACTCAGAGTCAGTATGTCAACCAACACATTTGGAAAATAATTTTAAGATCTAGCAACCCTAGAGATGGATCAACTGAGCAGACAGAAAACATTAATGAGAAGAAAAATATGTGAAAGCTTATCAATAAGACACAAAACACTTCACGTGAAAAGTTCATCAAATCGAAGTTGGAAATGTATATCCAACTATGGAAGTCTAAGCAAGAACTCAACAGCTGAACAGAAAGAGTGCTGCTTTATACATGCATATTTGTAAGCTCCTTGAGACCTTAACATAGAGAACATTAACACAGACTACCTAGAGTCTAAAATCTAGGGAAAAGAAAAGAGCAGAGAGTAATCAAGCTGGAGGTGAATACAAACCTCAAAATCAGCGGAACGGGGATTGGCAATAATAACTGCTGTTGATTTATCATCAGTCCGGTTTAACATGGCAAAATTCTCTTGGTAAGAACATAAAATCCATGACTTGATCTCTGTGAATCCGTTCATTGCAACCTAAGAGGCAATATACTGTAAGTCAGAAAAACTTTCATCCAAATAGAGAAAGGGAAGGAGTTGGTCGGGGAGAAAATAAACAAACAGATGCAGTATGCAGAATGATGTGTAAATAAGCACATGAGAAAATTAAGTACCTCCAATCTGAGAAGATCCTCAAGCTCAATCAAGGACACCACCTCGGAAGATGGAAACTTTGTCTTGGGTATGTTATTATAACCATAAGCAATTGCAACATCCTTGAAAAGAAGATACAGCTAGTGCTCAGCAGAAGGGAGTAAGATAATTCATTGGTTCTATAAAAATACACACCACCATAGTTGTACTTACTTCCATAACATCACAGGGGTGAAGGACATCACTTCTTGTAGGCGGTACTGATACTTTGATATTTTGTTCACCACCAGATGCACCTTTCTCAGCACGCAACTGCATCCGATTTAACAGGCTAGCAACCTGATGGCAAAGAGGGGCCACTATGACTTTCCATTTAGGGGTTCAATACTTTAGCACCAACGAAGAAATATATGCGACCCTCTCACTCTACGGTGTACCTGTATCCAACTAGACCTAGTACGTGGTTTCTTCCGCTACCCACTACAATACAAGTCCAACCTCATTTATCCATAACACACTGTAGCAACAGCTTCTTGAATCATGCATACCTGATCCTCAGAAAATGCAATGCCAAAGAGCATGACCCTTTTGTGTGACAAACAGCTTAGATTTTTAACTAAAATGTGTTGGCTGTTTGCACTGCAACTATTCTACATTAGAGTCTCCTTTCAGAGCTCCAAATTCCTAAAATGAACCCTCCATTAAGACGAAATTAAATTCTAAAACAGTGGATATACAATTCTCCCACGACGGTCTTGTCTAAACATGCCGCCAGAATAGATTTAGATAATAGTCATTGCTCAAGTAACTTTCATGTTTGACTTTTTTTTTAACAATGTACTTCGTTTATTTCAATTTCAGAAAGAAAAAAACCACCAAAAATCACTGAAGAGTCCATGTGGCCATTAAAACTGCATACCTCGTCTGCCTTCAAAGAGACTCCAATTGAGCGACTGATGTATGAAAGAGGAACTTCCATACTGTATTCAGATAATTCAGGGGATATTAATGACTTCCCACCATCATATACTACTTCAACTGGTTCAACTTCATACTTATTCCGACAATACAATGAAAAAGCTGTCACCTGATCACAAAGGGGTAAATGGCATTCATCAAGCATCAGTTTGCTACATTTGAAACAAAACCCAAGGAAGAAAATGCAACCAGAACTAAGATGCCAAACCATTGTGTTCAAAACAATCTTGGCCTTTGTCAGATCAGTGGCTGTACATTCTATGAATACATTCTTCGTCTTTAAAGTGATAGACGAATGTGCACCATTAATGATGGGAGGAAGAGACAAGACAGTTCTGCATAAAGAACTCTGAATTAAATCAATGGGAAAGAAATAGCATTGTTAGGTGATATAAGATACATATGCAAGCAACCAATGAGGAGCCTAAGTATTTTATACAAGCAATTGCATGAAGAGATGAAGAGGATAACTGACACACACAATATACATTATCCACCCAGGCACCCATGGGTGAGATTTCATCAAATAAACAACTTAATGGCTATGCTTCCACTAAGTTAATGTTATCAAAGGAAACAGGGATTTACCTTCTACAATCGTATATGACTGGGTACACAGGAGAGTTCTCAATGATATGCAGATACTTCTTCAGCTTCAAATCAGACTGCAAAGATATTCTCCATATCAGGGCATGTAGTTAGACTCAAAGGAAAGAGACAATACCTCTTCAGTCTTGTGATATCCCATAATGTGGTCTAATTAAAATTGAAATGCTTCAGTTTCCAAATCACCTTGTAAACCTCCATCAGTTCATCAGCTCTGAAGTTTTTCTCCTGAAGTCAATAGAACTGAATAAGCACAATTATAATGGAAGAGATAACAAATCAAAACTTGAAGGATAGCTGCACACAGCAGAAGAAGCATACAATCAGAGATGGTAACGAAACAAATTAAAATTTAAAATTAACTTATTAATAGTTATTTGTAGGACAAGGTAGGAGACTACGATTTCATCATATATGAACCTGGTTCTGAAGCAGACTAAGCTTCTCAGGGGGACGGATGATAACAAAGGCAAGGCACTACAAACTATAAGCCTGTACAACTTCAGCAAGTTGGCAACAGAGACAATAGGAGTTCAAAAGAAGAATAGTAGCACTGAGGCTAGAATGTTCAAACCTTCTAATCATCAATCATTGATTGATTAATTGCATAGTAGCATAATTTACTCTAAATTAACATCAGATAAATTCCTAAAAGCTCACCTGTTTCAGTGGTACAAAGTTTATCTTTTCTGGTGGGAGGGCCTGGAAACAAAGAAATGCTTCCAATCAGCATCATCACATGACATAATAGGCATGGATCACAAAATCAGGACCATCACCAAGCTTTGCCAGCCATAGATTTTAGTTGATCCATAGACTGATTCATATTGACTAAATAAAAAGTCAAAATGGACTGCTTTAATTTAATACATGACATGAAAATTCCATACTTCTAGCTACTAAAATTTATTCAAGCCACACAAATATAACAATTCCATTCAGAAACTAACTACTGCAAACAAACCTCATAAGTGAATGGGCCTTGAAGTGTGTCCAGGTCATGGGTACCAATTGCGACCAGAGTCCTTCGCCTAAACATGTGGTCCATTTCTAAATGAGACAAGGTCAAATAAAGGAAGACCATACAAGTTTACTCATGATAATACCTGCATATGTTCTCATGAAGCTTGTCCTGGAGTTCAATGAAGCTGTTATAACTGGCTTCATCGAAATTGATATCCCTCAAAACAGCACAAACAACATACGGCCGAATTTTGGACGTCTATAGCAGGGATAAAGTGTGCACACATTAGTGGATGATAAAATTGGACACCAAAAGCTCATGCATTGCCTTTCTCAAGAAAATGTAAACCAAAAAAAGGTACAAGCAGCCAAAAACTACCTCCTTGTGTACATGGATCTTCAGCATTGATTCCTTGCTAATGCTTGCTAGGGTGTATGCAGGAGTTCCTTCCTTCCCGTTGAAAACCCGGAGGGCTTGAGCAAGCCCCTCTAGACAAAGTAGATCATACCTAGCATCATTTGAAAAAAAAAAATGAATGTCAACAACATTGTTTATCCACGATACTTCAACAATAGGACGTGGAAAAGCTGTATAGATAAGGTGGGATAAACTTAAAAGAGTTCTTGTAAGTTACATATATCACATTGTCTGTGGGTTAGAAATAATTAATGAGGTTTGCCAAAACCAACTACCTATCAACAACATCAGGAGATAATCATGGAAAACAAATGCACATCAATGAACATCAGGAGGGAATAAGAAAAGGTCTGGCAATCCAAAAGACCAATACTGAAAAGGCACCACTGTGGCATTTGTAATCAACATACGTAGACCAGATAGCTACAGTAATCAAACTTCCCCACAGATACTACAGTGAGAGCCAAACAGCATGTCCTACCAATTTTAAAGGGGCAGTCAAAAACACTATATAACTTTGGAACTCCCTAGATACTACCATTCTGAGAAACCAAATGATGTGATCATGGCCACCCCTCATGACCTTATTCGAGTTCAATTTATATCTCTAAATGGACCACGGGTCAAGAGACAAACGAGAAGGTTTAATTGAGAGCTTAGGAGCATTCAAGATGGGTGGAAATGGCTATACAAGCAAGGTCTACGTGTTTATTGGTGCTGAATTTCAGAATTGGGAATTTCCTACAACAATCCCTATCCAACAAGTATTTGGAAGAGATGCTTAAATGCTGTCCATGTTGGTTAAGGAGTCTTTTATTATATTGCTTTATTTATTTTTTCAAGTATAAGTGTTATCTATTTCCTAGTATATAGTGATTACTTTTCAGTTTCGTAGGTGTAGAAGAGTTAGCCTCTTTACAAAATAGAAGGATTGTAGTTCAGTTTCATGCCTTCAGTATTCAGATTTCAATAAGAGTTTTCAAGAGTTGCAAGAGATATTTCCTTGTTATTTCTTAGGCTTATCAATCCCTTGGTTGTGGCGCCTAGCCTCTAACCTTATCATCAACTGGTGTGGCGATTCTCCTTCATCTAACCTACCCAAAACCCTAAATTTCTCAATTCCGTACAATTTCTAGCAACCCAAGCTATTTTATTCTCGTTCAGAGCATTCTAGGAACATCACCAAAAGGTATATTCAAGGAAGCAAAAGTGATCAGAAAGCTACAGAGCGAGCACCTGTTAGCAGGGACCTCAATTTTATAGATAACTTCCTCGTCATCATCTGCTGCTTCTTCCAAATGACACTCCTTTCTCATAATGGCCTTCTCAGTAGTCTGATGCAAGTCATAGAATTTTGACGTTACGAATCATCATTATGGATTTTGTTTATTGAATTACAAAATGAGTGAAGCGTCAAATAAATCCAGAATCAACCGAACGCTGACCACATCGTCGAGCTCAATTCCAAAGTTGAAGCAAAGCTCCTCGAACTTCTCTTGAGCTATATTCCAATTTCCAAACAAAAAGAAAGAGAGAAAATATGCTTTAGGTACCGTTGTCATGGTAAATTAATATACTTGGGAAGGAAACGAGAACTCACTGTAAGTTTGCCCTAAGGCAGCGAAGAGACAGTCCCTTCCCACGCTCACTGTAGGCATTGCGGCTGTGTTTCCAGTAAGAGATCGAACACTATAACATATATAAATAAATATATATATAGGGTTAGCGAAATAAGGCTACTAAAACAAACCTACCAATTCAAACAAACGCACAATACTTTCCAAACCAGAAAGAGAATAAGACTTTCACACCCTCCTTTTCTGGCGAATTAAAGAAAAAATTTACCAAAAACTGATGAACCTTATAACAACGATCCATCTATGGCAAAAAAAATGGTAACAATGATCAATGTAAAACCAATGGTAGAACTGATGAGCATTCTATGAAAAATATGCCAAGTCTTTCCGCAATTGTGTCTCTATGCTAATTATGATGAGCATAGACGTTCTGATAGAAATTTGGTGGGGTGGATTTCTGCAAGTCCTCTGATGGTTTCTGCAAGTATGGACCTTTGAATTGGAGGGGTGAGTTACTATAGATGAAGTTAGTTCAGAAAGTATAAAGGGGTATCAGCTTAAAGCCATAGCAACAAATTGACTAGTTACCAATGAGCTAAACTCCTGCATGAAGAAAGAAATTGATCCATCGCGCCCATAAAAAAAATTGATCCATTGCAGGCTCATGTTATGGGAGGCTACTGTGAGCTTTGGAAGAGAAGGAATTTATGCATGCAGTCAATACAGGAGTTTCATTATCAATGTTCAGTTCACATCCTTCTGAAAGCTTAAACTTTAGGCTCTGAAGACTTGCTGGCTTTATGACTTTTCACTACTGTTCGACGGAGAAGGGGGTGGGCAGAGAGGCCGGCCAACCTCAGTCGTCGGCGGAGACAAGGAGAGAGACAGAGATAACAGCAGAGACAGAGCAAAAGAATAGCAGAACTTACACGTTCTGTCCGCACTCGGCAGGGAGGGGCGCCGGAGAGCGGAGAGCGGAGAGCAGAGAGCAGCACAACTTGCGGCGGCGGGAGTAGGATGAGACGGCCGCCGTAGCAGGAGCAGCAGCGGGCGGCGGAGGAGGGGATGAGGAGCCGCGGCAGCGGAGGCGGCGGGGTGGGGACAGGGAGGAAATGGCGATTAGGCCGTTAGGGTTTTGGGTTTTTGCGATTTTGATTTTGATTTTTGGGTTGCTCAGTCAGATTGATCGGAGAAAGGAAGGGGATTCTGTCGTGTCCTCCATTCCATAATCCGGATTTTACAATATTTTCTTCCTTTTTAGTTTCCGCCCACGAAGACGATCAGCCCACAGTAAAACGCAAACCGGTTGGTTCAAACCAGGCTGGGGCTGGGTGTTTGATGGCCCAACCTGGCAACCTTTGACCCAATATAACTCCTAATAATGGGTGTTCTAATTTAAACTTGCGAAAAATGTGATTAATTATGTTAGTTTTGACAAAAAAAAATTTAATTTTTGAGTACGAAAGAACATGGGAAACAAGCACGGTAGGGTTGGGCATTCGGTTCGGTAAACTCAAATCAAATTGACTCGAAATCGAACTAAATTTAATCGAAACCGAACTATCCTTGTTTGGTTAGGAATTCGAAAGGCATAATCCAATATTTCTAAAACCAAGATCTGCCTAACCGAACTTGATTTTCGAATTCCAAACCGACCAACCGAACTTACACTCATAGTGCACAACCCAAGCCCACAACCCCAGGCCACACAGTCCCAAGCCCGCTACATCTATTTTCTCATTTCTCTAGTAAAACCCTAGTCCAACCCAAACCTCACAGCAATCGTCGGTGGAGAGTGAAGGCTTGGCGGCTGTTTTGTGGTGATTGGTGAACAGAGTTCCTCGGTGACGAAAAAAGGAAAAGAGCGACGAAGTTTGAACTCCACCGGCGATTGCAACTATATCTGATGAAGAGAGGAGAAGGGTTAGCGGATTGGGTGGAGAACACAAATCCTTGAGCTCTTTTAAGATTTGCTAGCTTCGACGCTATCCCCCCCCCCCCCCCCCTCCAAACCCAAAACCAAGATCTGTTTGACGTCATCACTTCCCTTCAAGGCTTCAACCAAATACAAAAAAAACAACGCGAAATCTATGAGAGACATAGAGGTGAACCAAAAATTCCATGCATACTTGGATAGTAAGCCTTACTAACCTCTAACCTCCGTCGTCGAAGTCGTCACAATCATCAATGTCAATCACCATCGCCGCCTGTCGCTGAGTTGTTCTCTCGATCAATCGCTGAGTCCAGATACAGGAGGAGAAATCGACCCATTGTGATCTGAGAAGAGAGAGACAGAGAAAGAATTTGTTATGCGCAGAAATGGTAAAGAATTTGTAACTTCAAGGTGGTTTTAAAACCGAATCGAACCGAAATGTATTTTGGTTTGGATGAACCAAACCAAAATATATTTTGGTTTGAATTTGGTTTGCTCCATGAACTACTTCAGGGACCCGGTAATATTTGGTTCGGTTTGAACCAAACTGACAGAATGCCCACCCTTCAAGAACATCAATACCAAAATGATATATAGGTTGTAGTTGAATTAGTTCGTGACAAAAAGCAATTCAATCAGTTAAATCAAAGTTTCGAAACAATTTAAGGGTTATGTGGACATTTGATTTGGAAATTATCGGTTTGTACCAAATCCATGCATTGAAGAGTGATTAATTAAGACCATGAAATTTATGGATAGGAGATGATCGGAACTAAAAAGGTAAGATGAGAGATATGTGAAATGAAACGTGGTTGATACTTGACAATAGGGGTGGGCATACGGTTCGGTAAAACCGAACCTAACCGGACATAATTCAAACCGAACCAAAATCGAATAACATTAATTTGGTTCGGAATTAGGAAGAGAAAAGGGTATATTTCGGTAGGGATGGCAATGAGTCGGGTTGGGGCGGGTTTTGTCAAACCCAAATCCAAACCCATGGGTTTATCCGCCAAAAAAATCCGGGGTAAAACCCACTGGGTTTGAAAAACTCAAACCCAACCCAACCCGCTGGGTATCCGCGGGTTCATGGGTGCCCGTGGGTTTTTGTGGTAAAAAATTTACAATAACAATTTTCTTTCGAAATAAAAGTTTAACACCAATTTTCTCATACAAATTATTCATACAAAAAACACCAATCTAGAGCATACAAGCTAAGCAAACCGCAAATGATCAATACAAATTGTTCAAAATTAAAGATAAACATCAATAAACAATAAGATTAATTGAAAGCTTCTTCCTCGTCAATTAAGTTTCTTCACTCTCCACTTCATAATATCAACTTCATTCTAAACGATTAGAAAGAACAAATTATACATGTCTCCACAAACATAAAGAATATTAGTTGTTTAAGGAAGTTATATATTTAGAATATTAAATATACCGGGAAAGTAATTATATGTGTGGGCGGGTCCCATGGGGCGGGTTTACCTAAACCCAAACCCGACTCGGTGAATCGTGTAGTGGGTTTAAACCTGAACCCGACCCAAAACCCGTCAACGCGGGTAAATGGGTCGGGTGGGTACCCGTGGGTTCGGGTTTTGTTGTCATCCCTATATTTCGGAAACCAAGGTCCTTTCGACCGAACCGATTTTCCGAATTCCGAACCGATGTTCCGAATTACTATAATGCAAGTTCCAAATGGTGGATTTTTATGTTTGTACTTATTATAAGACTTAAATATTTGAATTATGTTATTGTTTTATGAATTATGTGTTGAAATGTTTGATTTTATCATTGATTATGCATTTAATTGCATATTTATTGTTTACATTAGGGGTGAAAAATAATTTAAAAGAGAAAAAAATACAAGCTAACCTCACAAGTCCGGTTTTTCATACAAAACCGAACCGAATTATAATTCGGTTTGAACTGACCGAACCAAATTATAATTTGGTTCGAATTCGGTTTGAGGTTTGATGGAACTCAGAAACTCGGTATACATTATTTCCATTCGGTTTGAACCGAACCGACCGAATGCCCACCCCTACTTGACAATATGAGGTTAGTAGGGGTTAATGATGAGAGTTAAATGACAAACTGTGACACTCTCGATTCTTTGAAGTTTAGGATTTTGGATAGGAAATTATAAGTGCGTGAAAGAATGTAGGAGAGGATGACAAATGAACGAGGAAAAACTAGAGAGGAGGGTACCAACAAGATGGGTTTAAGATATGGTTTAGAGTTGGGTTTTTTATTCAACCAATCGATAAGAGCATGGTACCAACAAGATGTGTTTGTTGACGTACCACATCTTGATGGCATGCTGACTATGCACATTTAGCAGGAAAAATGGACGAAACGAGCTAAGGGGATTAATCATTATGTCATGCACTGGGAATCATAAGTGATCATTTAGTTTAGCGATGGAAATGGTGCGGGACATGGCGAGAGCCTCAATACTCATACCCTGCTACGCACTAAGCGTGGTTGAGTTTGGATAATACTCACGCGAGTGTGTGGCCGGACAGGTCTATCCATTCTTGTATGTTATTTGAAAAAAGGAATGTCGTTATTGAACTCTTTTACAAGAACACATTGAGAAAATACTTCATAAATGAATGAAAAATATAGTAGAAGGAATAAATGAGTCTAAATAGTTGAAAGACATACTATTCCTTTCATTCCATAGCTTCCATAGGATCATTCCCAATCTGCTAAGCACCTCGTCATCGACTCTCTCCATAATCTCGCACAGCCAACTACCACTTGATAGTTCTTCGCCTGATTCAAACAAAGGTCTGTACTCCGTAGACCTCCAGATTCGCGTCGACCAAGAGCATTCCCTGAAAATATGGTTTTGCGTCTCGACCTGGTTGCAGTAAGGGCATTCAACTGGGGCATCCTTTTTCCTCCCTTCTATATTCTTCCCTGTCGGCAATATATCATGTGTGAATCGCCAAAGGAAGTTTTTAACCTTTGGGGGAATGTTCAAACCCCACAAACGCTTCCAATTCATCGGATCGTAAACCTCCCCCATCAACTCCTCAGCCCCTTCACTGACCTCCACATTGTTTGTCTTCCTATTCCAGTGCCTATAAGCTGACTTGACTGTGTATACACCAGTCTTCTCCAAACTCCAAATTCTCCTGTCAGCTGTAGGTTGTCTCGGAATGGGAATACCCTTGATCCGAACTTGATCAGTATCATTGAACACCCGTTCCAGTAGACCTTGTTTCCATGTTCTGGTGTCATAGTCAATCAAATCCCCCACCTGGTTGCCTTCCTCCAAATCCACTCTCGTCGAGGTCACTTTGAACTCGTCCTCTTCCGCACCTGGAACCCACTTGTCATCCCAAATGTTAATGTTTGACCCATTTCCGAGTCTCCACCTTAAACCTTGTTTAACTAAATCCTGAGCAGCCATTAGACTACGCCATGTATAGCTCGGATTAGTGCCAAGAGTAGCATCAAGGATTTCAGTGTTTGGGTAATATTTGGCCTTCAAGACCCTCGCCACTAGGGAATCCGGATTGTTCATGAGATTCCAGATTTGCTTCCCAAGCAGGGCTAGGTTAAAGCCCTTTAGATCTCTGAAACCAATACCCCCTTCCTCCTTAGGTTTGCATAATTTCTTCCATGCTTTCCATGGAATATGCTTCTCCTCTCCCTTTTGTCCCCACCAGAACGTGGATATCACTCTTCTAATCTCTTCTAGCACCCCATCTGGCACTCGGAACACAGACATGGTGTAAGTAGCTTGAGATTGGGCTACTGATTTAATTAGAACTTCCTTAGCTGCTACTGACAGTGTTTGGCTTTTCCAATGTTTAACTTTCTTCCTTACCCTGTCAACCAACACCCCAAATGCTGCTCGCTTCTGTCTTCCAATTTTTGTAGGAAGTCCCAAATATTTTGCATGTTCTTCCACTCTCCTCATTCCCAGGATGTTTCCCAACTCAACTGCCTTCTCATTTTCCACACTCGGTGAGAAACTGATCTCAGATTTTTGAAGATTAATTTTCTGCCCCGATTCCACCTCATATATCCTTAGAATTTCCTTAATTTTTCCACATTTAGTTGATGTAGCTCTTGCAAACAGCACACTGTCATCTGCAAATAGCATATGAGAGATGGCTGGCCCCCTGTTTGAAACTTTAAGGCCATGAATCGTCCCCCTGTTGACCTCCTTTTTGATTAGAGCTGACAAACCCTCTACACACAGCAAAAAGAGATAGGGTGATAGGGGGTCACCCTGTCTCAGCCCTCTGCTTGGTTTG